AGTCAATTGATATAATGGGCAAACACGATTTTCAGTTGGTATGAACCTGCTTTGGTACTCAGGCTGAACTTGGTACTCACAGGCTTATCATCACCACAGGGTAAATTAGTGCAAAGGAATATTCAAGAAGACAATGGATTGAAGATGATTTTATTGGTAAGGAATTGATAAACGCATATTTCTCCACAGTCAAGTCTAGGACATGAAGTTAAACAATTTCTCATCGAGACAGCACAGCCAAAAAGCACATACACGAGCTATCCAAAGTGGAAATTTGCAATGGTTTAAAGCAAAACACTGAACTTTGGATTCATTTGACAATATAGTTGTCCAGAAGTTCACAACCAATTTTTACAAAACAAAATAAGGTACATAAGTAGCTAATCATTAAGTCCAACAGACACCAAGATTCAACAAAAAGTGTAGCAACAACATATTAACAGTAGACGCCAAGATTCAACAGAAAGTGTTGCAACAACATATTAACAAACACATTTACAGACAAATAACTTAGTTGAATTACAAACACGTTTAGCCCTCTTAGTCCTCAAATTCTAGAAACACGTTTAGCTTTCTTAGCCCTCAAATTTTCCAACACACTTGCAACTGTTGGTACAAGTTTTCTGACTCTAGTTGATCTTCTAGTATCCAAAATAGGTTCAACAGCAGAAGCAGCTCTTCTAGTATCCAAAACAGGTTCAACAGGTTCATCTGTTGATCTTCTAGTGTCCAAAACAGGTTCAACAGGTTCATCAGTTGGTCTTCTAGTTTCAAAAACTGGTTTAGTAGTAGAAGTTTCACAAGGCTGAATAAATAGATAGGTTTAAGTCAGTTAAATGCAGTTTAATTGCAGTAATAACCATCATCATTAATAGTACCTGTGACACTGAACCCTGTTGTGAGACAGATCCAATACTTGTTGCATTTCCAGCAATATGTGTTTCATTTGCTACATCATTCCTTGCATTTCCAGCGTTTGCAACATCACTACTTGTATTTTCAGCATTTGCAACATCATCACCTGCATTTCTAGCATCACTAGCTCCAGCAGGCACCCATTTTAATGGTAACAAATTAAGTACATATGACATGATATGACACTGATATAAGTACATAAGGTAACAAATTAAGTACATATGACACTGATTACAAACTAACTACTACTACAATTTACCTTATAAAACTTGGACTTTGGATGGATTGGGAATTTACAAGTCCTAGAATTATGTCCTGGCCTAAAACACTTCTTACAGTGCAGAGCAAGTCCTTTTCTTGTAGATGTAGTGCCTCTAACTTTATCAACTTCTCTTCTTCTCACTTTCTTGGGTCTTCTAGGTCGCTTTCTAATCTTTGGGGAATTCACCTGTTCAGTTTCTTTTGAATCCCAATATTCTTCAAAGGGCATTGCAGGTATAGTGTAGTTATAGGTGCTCAAGTATGCTTCTTTGCTATAACAAGGATCAACATAGTGTTCAGGCTCTGATTTACCCCTTTGAATGGCAGCAATAGAATGTGAGCATGGAATCCTACGTAGTTGCCATGATCCACATGTGCATGTTCTACGACTTATATCAACAACATATACTCTAGTCCCACAATCCACTTCATACTCAGCATCCCGAGAATAATGAGCTATACAAAACCTACTATTTAGCTTGTTCTTCTCAAGTCGTTCTTGTATGTTTGGACAAAGGTTCCCTTCATACTTTTGCATGCCTTCCCTTTTCACATTTAGCCTCTGCATGAGTATTCTTCTTATCCACTCAAACATGGAGATGATTGTGAACTCTCTTACTAGAAGTATGTAGGAATTAAATGACTCATTCAAATTATTAACAAGAATATCACTCTTGCATGAGGAGCTAAAATGTGACCTGGACCATAAATGTGCAGGAATCCTGTTTAACCAACCAGCTGCATTCATAGCTTCTCCCACCTTTGGATCAGCCTTTTCCAATTCAGCCATTGTTGTCTTGACGTCACGAATGTTCCCAGCAGACGCGCCCAAAAGTACTCCTTCAACTCCTTTCCCTTGAACTTCTGTTTAAATTTTGATATATATGACGAAGGCAGTACCTATGCTCTGATTCAGGAAACACATCATCAATTGCACTGACTAACCCTTTTGCCTATCAGATATGAATCTCCATGGAGCTCCATTTTCAACACCAACTTCAATTTTCAACTCCATCAAAAACCATTTCTATGAGTCATATCTCTCGGCTTCCACTATAGCCATTGCAATAGGAAATATGTTATCATTGCCATCCCTACCCATAGCTGTCAAGAGTTGTCCACCAAATGGACTTTTCAAAAAGCAGCCATCTAATCCAATTATTCGTCGACAACCAGCTAGAAACTCATTCTTCATTGCACTTAAACTCCAGTACATTCTTTCAAATAACCCAACCTCGTTCTCATTCAGTCTAGTCACTTGCAGGACAATATGGCTACCAAGATTCCGGATCAACAAGGTAGCAGCATAATCTCTGATGACATGATACTGTCTTATATCATCCCATTGTAGTGCCTTTCTTGCCAATCTTTTAGCTCTATAAGCCTGTCTCATGCTTATGTCTGCTAGGTTGCGATGTTATTATTTATTTTATTATTAATTTTCCCTATTACCTGACCTTATGTGGATTAATTATTAGATTCTACTCACTTTTCGAATTTTACAGTTATTTTAGGGAGTAGAACGAAAATACCACAACTAAGACCAAATTGGCAGAAAAGGAGTTCAAATGGTAGAGCTTGTTCCAGGGGCATTTTTGAAAAAGAAAACGTCATGCCTATTTTAGTAATTGCTAAAGACTAAAGGGCAGAAAAGGGGAGTCTTCGGATGGCATTTGGAGGCCGCCGCACAAGATGATGAAGGGAGGACTATTGGATAGAAACGGGAATGAGGAGCAGGGGACTTTTGTCTCCTGGAGCTTAGTTTTTTGTTGACTTTTTTCCCTTGCATTTTCTTTGGCTTTTTTCTTAAGCATGTCAGGCAATACTTAGTAGCTCTTAGCTTTGATTTTTCTTTTGGCTCTTGGTAGCTTTTGTCTCCTCGGATGTGAGGAGCAACTGGAAGCAATTGAATGATTTTCCCTGTAGCTTTTCCTTTGACTTTTTCGCTTGGTCCTTGAGTAGTTTTTTTCCCCTCTTCGTATGACAGACGAATTGGAACAATCAATTGCCTCTTGTAGCTCGCTTCTCTTCTTGAATAGAACGAATTGATTTTTCCCAATTCTTGGCCGATGGCAGCGATTGATGCTTCATTTTTGCGTGGGTTTTTCGCATCAAATATGAACTAATTTCTTTACTCTAGTCAAGGAACAATGGAGGCTTTGGCTTGCCTAAAATTGTGAGATCGATTTAATTTTAACTTTTTCTTTTATTTATTGGTATTTGCATATCCCTTGATTGCAGTATTCATGATTATTTAATTAATTGATTGTCTTGGATTTGGATAATTATTTAGTTTGATAACCTATTGTCAATTGGGGCATTTAAATCCGTAATTGTTTAATTGCCCTGAAATAGTGACAACTGACACGATTAGATTTGTGTCAGGGGGATATGCAGGCTAATCTGAAATAACCTTGGTAGTGTGTTATTTGATTAGAATAGGACTCCTCTAATACGTAAGGCAATTGGAGAATTAAATCTTACGGGCGTATCTAGAATTATTTCTCAATTAGAGCAATGATTAATAGGCGTACCTTGATCACCGACACAGTAAGGAGGGGTTGACTGTCATCGCTAGTTTGACAGTTATAACCTATTTATTAATAAATAGTTGAAATTGCTTGTGCATCGATGATTAATTAGGTGAACCATTGCTGAAGTTATTTCTTGGCTAGATCTTTAATTAATATTACTTTGATTTTAGTGAATTGCCATTTGATTTTTAGTTGCCTATTTTATTTTATTTTTAATTATTTTCTTGTTTTAATTGTTTTAGAGCTTTAATTATTGTTACTCTAAGTTTAGTGAATTGTTATTTAATTTCTAGTTAGTTATTTATTTTAATTTTCTTATTTAAATTTTTTTGATTGTCGTCGTTCATACAAAATCACCCCCTGTGTTACTTTGAAATTCTTAAGAGACAAATATTCCCAATCCCTGAGAATACGACCTTACTTGCCCTGTCTACAAATTCATAATTATTTGTGAAAAAAAAGCCATCCCATTCGGGTATATCGGATCAAACAAACTCTTCGAAAACAGGGTGAATCAAGTAACCCATTACACACCTAGAGTTCCTATTCCAGTACTTGGAATTGGGTTTTGGTTACTTTAACTGACAATTAGGTTTAATTTTATTATTGTACAGGTTTCGACAACCTGTCAATTTTTGGCGCTGTTGCCGGGGACTAGTGTTAATTATTTGTTTCTTTTTAATTTCAATTTTTTTTTCTAATTTTCTGGTATTTTTTTAGTTTATGCCTCGTTCTTCTCGTGCAAGCGAATTAGTTTTCGACCATGAAGTAGAGAAGATCGCGCGTAGAACGAGAAAAGAAACCAGATAACTCAGAGAGGAGCAGTCCAGTGTTGCATCTCAAGGACTTGATCCAGAGGTTGAGACAACGGATTTGCGTGGTGATAACTCAAGTGATTCAGACCAAGAGGAAGTCACCATGGCGAATGCACAAACGCTAAAGGAGTTGGCTGCTCCCAATTTAAATCAACAATCTCTATGCATTACTTTCCCAAATTTAAATGATAACACTCCGTTTGAATTAAAATCTGGTCTAATTCATCTTTTGCCATCATTCCATGGTTTATCAGGTAAGGAGCCGTATAAATACCTGCAAGAGTTTGATGTAGTGTGCAACAGCATGAAACCCCCAGGTATTACAGAAGAGCAGATAAAAATGAGGGCATTCCCCTTCTTCTTGAAGGATTCTGCAAAAGACTGGCTGTACTACCTCCCATCAGGTAGTATTACCACGTGGGACCAGCTGAAGAAAAAATTTTTGGACAAATATTTTCCGGCGTCTCAAGCTGCAAGTCTAAGGAATGAAATCTCCTGTATCAAGCAACACCCAGGCGAGTCCCTCTATGAGTATTGGAAGAGATTCAAGAAACTGTACATCAAGTGCCCCCAACACCAAATAAGTGAGCAACTGCTCATTCAGTACTTCTATGAGGGCCTACTCTTCAGGGACAGAAATATAATCGATGCTGCGAGTAGAGGGGCATTAGTGAACAAGACTCCTTGGGCAGCATGGGAGCTAATTGAAGGAATGGCTAAGAATTCGCAGCAGTTTGGTACGAGGGAGGATGTCCCAACGCGTAGGGTGAATGAAGTAGAAACATCCTCCATCCAGCAGTAAATTTCTGAATTGACATCCTTCGTGCGACAATTAGCTGCAGGAAGTGCCTCACAAGCCAAAGTGTATGGGGTATGTGCTGCCGTGGGTCATTCTACGGAGGTGTGTCTACTGGTTCAGAAAGAAACTGCATAGCAGGTGAGCATGGCTGACCACGCGCCTGTGCCAAGAAAATAGTACGACCCTTATTCAAACACTTACAATCCTGGTTGAAGAGATCATCCCAACCTAAGCTATGGAGGGAACAGGCAGTCCAATTTCGTACCAAATAGACAGCAAGGGTACCAGCAGCAGTACCAACCTCGGCAACCATCACTTCCTTCGAACTCAAGTCCGTCCATAGAAGAGATGATGAAGTAATTACTTGCGAATCAACAAAAGACGGATTCAGACCTGCAAAGCATGAGGAGTCAACTGGGACAAGTGCAATCACTGCAAATTCAAGTAAATCAAATGGCCATCATGATCAACCGTTTGGAGTCTCAGATTCAAGGGAAGTTGCCATCTCAATTTGAGTTGAATCCGAGGAATGTGAGTGCAATGAATTTGAGGAGTGGCAAGAAAGTCCAAGGACCTAAGCTGGTGATTCCTAAGGACAAAGATGAGAAAAATATCGAACATGAGCTTGAGAAAGAGGACAGTAATGGCACAGATCCAAAGGTACTCCCGGACCCAGTCATTACAGTTAAGACTAATCCGGCCCCTTTTCCTAGCAGGTTGGAGAAATCGAAGAAGCAGGATAAGGAGAAGGAGATACTGGAGGTATTCCGCAAGGTAGAGATCAATATCCCCCTATTAGACGCAATCAAACAGGTGCCGAAGTACGCAAAGTTTTTGAGAGACTTGTTCGTCAATCGAAGGAGGCTGAGGGGAGATGAAAGAGTCATTGTTGGGGAGAATGTGTCAGCGGTCCTGCAGAGGAAACTCCCACCGAAATGTGGGGACCCAAGTATGTTCACTATCCCCTGTAGGATAGGCAACACTGTGATTAGGAAGGTCATGTTGTACTTAAGGGCGTCAATTAATGTAATGCCTAAGTCTGTCTATGCTTCTTTGAATCTAGGTCCATTAAAAGAAATTGGAATAATCATTCAATTAGCTAACCGAACTAATGCATATCCTGATGGGTTGGTTGAAGATGTGTTAGTAAAAATTAATGATTTGGTGTTTCCAGCTGACTTTTATGTACTTGATATGGATGATGATCACTCCCCCGATCCCTCACCCTTACTATTAGGTAGACCCTTTTCGAGAACAGCACAGACAAAAATTGATATTAACAAGAGTACTTTATTCATGGAATTTGATGGGGAAATTGTGTATTTTAATATCTTTAATACTATGAAATATCCTTCAAACTCCAACTTTAGCTCTCTTTTTTTTGTGAGTGCTATTGACCCTGCGATGTAGGAAGTGTTTGAAACTGTTGGCAGGGATGAGTTGGAGGTCGCTTTAACCAAACACCTCGAGTTGGAGACAACTCCTGAGGTGGAGTGGAGTGAAAATTTGAAATGCACAATAGGGGCATTACACTTGTTGCCAACCACAACGAAAAGGTATGAAATTTTACCTATTTTCATACTCGAATTTCACCAAAAGGTATTACCATCGGTGGTGCAGGCACCTGTATTGGAGTTGAAATCCCTGTCGAAACACTTGAAATATGCGTATCTGGGCGACAACGAAACACTCCCAGTGATTATCTCAACTGCACTCTCGAAAACCTAAGAAGAGAAGCTAAACCGAGTCCTTAGAGAGTATAAAGAGGCAATAGGGTGGACCATCACAGACATTAAGGAGATAAACCCGTCCATTTGTATGCACCGGATTAGGTTGAAAAAGGATGCCAAACCTGTACGGCAGGCCCAATGGAGGCTCAACTCCCTTATGATGGAAGTGGTGAAAAATAAAATATTGAAGTTACTGGATGTGGGGATCATATTTGCAATATCAGATAGCCCTTGGGTGAATTCGGTCCAGGTAGTTCCAAAGAAAGTAGGAGTGACGGTAGAGACTAATCAAACGGGTGAACTCGTGTCAGTGCGCAAACCCACTGGATGGAGGCAACATATTGACTACCGTAGGCTGAACGCCGTCACAAAAAAGGACCATTTTTTTCTCCTTTTTTTCATTGACCAAATGGTTGAATGTTTAGCTTGTAGAGTTCATAATTGTTTTTTGGATGAATTTTTAGGATATTTTCAGATAGCAATTGCATCAAAAGATCAAGAGAAGACGATCTTCACGTGCCCGTTTGGGACCTTTGCTTATAGACGGATGCCGTTCGAGTTGTGTAATGCACTTACAACATTCCAGAAGTGTATGGTAAGCATTTTTTCAGAATATGTGGAGAAAATTATTGAGGTTTTGATGGACAATTTTAGTGTATATGGTGATAGCTTTAATACATGTTTGGATAACCTGAAATTGATCTTGTTAAGGTGTATAGAGACTAATCTCGTGTTTAATTGAGAAAAATGTCATTTTATAGTTGAACACGAGATAGTCCTAGGTCATGTTGTGTCTTCTAAATTTATTGAGGTCAACAGAGCAAAAATAGATATTATATTTGCTTTACCTTATTCCGCGGGTGTGCGGAAGGTGCGCTCTTTTCTTGGATATGCAGGTTTTTATCGCAAGTTCATCAAGAATTTTTCGAAGATTGGAGCCCCATTATTCCAGCTTTTACAAAATGATGTGGCCTTCGAATTCGATGACAAGTGTGACAGAGCCTTCGACAAGTTGAAAGAGCTATTGACCTCGCCACCGATCATTCAACCCTCTGACTGGAGTTTGCTATTTGAGATCATGTGCGATACCAGTGATCATGCTGTAGGGGCTGTATTGGGGCAAAGAGTAGGAAAGACAACTCACGTCATTTGTTATGCATCTCAAGTTTTAAATAGGGGCTAATTGAATTACTCCACTACTGAGAAGGAGTTTTTTGCAGTTATTTTTGCTTTAGAAAAATTTAGGTCATATTTGTTAGGTGTTAAAGTTATTATATTTTCTGATCATGCAGGGTTACGGTACCTAATAACCAAGAAAGATGCAAAGCTGAGGCTTATAAGATGGATATTGATCCTACAGGAATTTGATTTGGAGATAAGGGATAAAAGAAGTTCAGAGAATCTCGTAGCCGACCATTTAAGTCGCATACTAGTTGTGGAGGAGAGCGAACTATTGAAGGATGCATTCCCTGAAAAGCACTTGTTCTCTTTAAATTCTCAATTGTCTTGGTATGCTGATTTAGTCAATTATCTAGTAACAGGTAATTTTCCTGCAGGTTGGCCAAGATCGAAGAGGGACAAACTGAAGAGCGATGCCAAATATTTCATCTGGGATGACCCGTACTTGTGGAAGAAATGTGCTGACCAGATGATGAGACGATGTGTAAGTGAAACTGAATTTCAGTCAATTTTGAGTTTTTATCATACTTTTGCCTGTGGAGGTTATTTTGGATCCAGGAGAACTGCTCATAAGGTATTAGAAAGTGGATTTTACTGGCTCTCTTTGTTTAAGGATGTGTATGTGTTTTGTAAGTCCTGTGATCGTTGTCAAAGGGTAGATAATATAGCCCGTAGAGATCATATGCCCCAAGTCCCGTTAATTTTTGTTGAAATTTTTGACGTGTGGGGTATCGATTTCATGGGACCTTTTCCTATTTTATTTGATTTTATATATATTTTGTTGCCAGTCGATTACGTGTCTAAATAGGTAGAGGCTAAGGCCACCCGGACTAATGATTCGAAGGTGGTTGCAGATTTTATTAGGTCTAATATTTTTGCACGTTTTGGGATGCCAAGGGCCATAGTTAGTGACAGGGGGACGCATTTCTATAATAACACCATAGCGGCGCTATTCTGCAGGTACGATGTACTCCACAGGGTCTCAACGTCGTACCACCTTCAGACCAATGGTCAAGTGGAGGTATGAAATCGGAAGATTAAGTCCATTTTGGAGAAAATGGTGCGACCCAATAGGAAGGACTGGAGTCAAAAATTGGAAGATATGCTTTGGGCTTATCGAACGGCGTACAAGACCCCCATAGGGATGTTACCGTACAGATTGGTATTTGGGAAGCCGTGTCACCTTCCAGTGGAGTTTGAGCACAAGAATTTTTGGGCGATTAAACAATGTAATATGAACCTAGAAGAGTCCGGTACCCAACGAAAGTTGGATTTGCAAGAATTGGAGGAGATCCGGAACGAAGTGTACGAGAATGCACTAATTTACAATGAGAGGAGCCGGGCATTTCATGATCAACAAATCTCTAGAAAAACCTTTGAAGTTGGTCAAAAGGTCCTCCTGTACCAATCCAGGCTCAAGCTCTTCCCAGATAAGCTACATTTCCGTTGGATTGGATCTTTTATTATTACTCACGTATTTTCATATGGTGCAGTTGAAATTCAGAGTGTTAAAACAAACAACAAGTTTGTGGTGAATGGATACTGTTTCAAACATTATTACGAAGGCTTTTCAAGTGAAGAAGTGGAAACGATACGTCTAGATACACCACCGTGTCCTATTCAGTGACACTTTACCATGTCTGGCCAAAGACAATAAAGAAAGGCGCTTATTGGGAGGCAACCCAATTTCTTTTAGTTCTTTGTTCGATAGTTTAAATGTGTTTTCCTTGAGTTTGACTAATTTCTGGCTTCAATTTTCATTTTTTTTGATGATTTGTAGGTGTCTCTATGACTTAGCGCGCCCGCATTATGTCATACAGAGAGCTCACAGTCAGAAGGGTTCTTGCCCTTTTGACGCGCCCATGTCACGTTCG